AACCCCAACTCCCTCAGCCTGTCCTGCTCCAGTCCCCTGAGCATCTTTGTGGTCTCCTCTGGACTCACTCCAACAGGTCCATGTCTTTCTTACCCTGTGGCTGAACGCAGTACTGCAGGTGGGGTCTCACCAGAGCGGAGTAGAGGGGGATATATGTAAACAACTACTACTAGTGGCATTAGATGCACACGATGCACTCACTATTCACCAAGCTACACTTCATCTTTTTATTAATTCAGTTATTATTGTGGCTGCTTCTAAAGATTTTCCACCACAGTTTTGCCACCAAATTATTCGATTTATTGACATGTCCCCCCAGGCTCCCTCTTTCCTTGCTGGTAATAACTATTTTACACTATTGTGACCCTAGGAAGTGCTGAATGATGCTGGAGGATGCTTTCTGGTTTCAGAGTGCTCACCACTGAGGACTGGTCATGTTGTTCTCAAAGAGTGAAGCTGATGGGTTATGTTCAGCAGTCACCGGATGCTTGGGGACGTACAAACTTCTACAGACTATCAAAAAGAGCAGCACTCTGGCAGGGCTACTCATGTGCAGGACTTAGTAGTAGGCTTCTGTGATGAATGCCATTAAAACCAACCAGAAGCGTGAAGCTGTGCAAGCTGTGGGATTTTGCCATTGTGCAGAAATAGGGCCATTGTCCCTGTGGTAATATTGGTGGATAGATTAGTGTGGAGAAAAATATTTTCCCTTGTTTTGAGGTAAAATGCAAAATAACAAGAATGATAGTTCACCAATCAAGAAATATTCCCCTTTTTATATTTTGCCTTAGAGGGATTTTCTCCATGTTTAGTTTTAAGCTAGTACTTCATATTTAAGAATCTACAGTTTATGGCACGAAAAGCTTTCATATTTATAAAGTACCATAACTAGTAATGAGGGCTATACTTTTGCTTTACCAGGCTTTCACATTTGTTTAATTTAGAATGTACTTTGCTATAAAATGAAGTACTCTCTCTTAGCTACTATAATTAACGCTATTTCACATCTATGCTCCAATATACACAAATTGATTGTGCTTACACTGTACAATATGACACATCCTTCTTTGATTTTCCATCACTTCCTTTGGTCAAAAGAATGGAAAGATTAAAAGGTAAGTATTTCTAGAGAAATATATTAGCAGGAGGCATAGGGAAGGGGAGTGTATCATTAGAAGTGGGAGTTAGGTATTTTCAGTTATCTAAAGAATAGCTAACTAGCTCAGATGTAATGTGAGCTTAGTATGTCAGATTAAAAACCATTGAAAACATCACTATAGAAGTTACAAAATGAAGTATTATTGTGAAATCTCACTAAAAAATCTATACATTGGAAGTGACCATTTCAGTAGGAAAATGTTACTACAAAAACAATGAAAATCTTCCAGTCTTTTGATTTCCATGCCATTTGTCAATTTTCCAACGAATCTGCTAAAGTAATTATTCAAATAAATATTTTTAAATTAAGTTACATTTTAAATTTTTAATACTTTTCATTTAAATTTTTGAAAACCCTTTTGCTGTTGGCAATGTTCCCTATCTTCAGACCTTCATTTGCTTTTTATGGGATAGTCTTTCAGCGAGCCTTCTGCAGGACTTGAGTGGGTGGAAAGGGTGCCAAAAAGACAACCGGTCACCACCCGTCCACAGCAGCTCTGCCTACAACATTTTGATCTTAGAGCCTGCTGTCTCCTCGTAAGCTGACCTCCAAGCTTTGTGGTGGAACAAATGGATTTCCTTGGGTTATATTGTTTGATGGATGCTTTGCTGTTGATCTCAGAAGTAGTTTTGAAGGTTTATTAAGCTTTGTTTGCTGCTGTCTTTGTAGCCATATAGAGGTGGTAAAGGCTGCTCTTTCCTTCAGTTCTCTTTGACTAATTTTGGATGTTTCTTTTCTTTGCTGTGTAATGTTCTCACCTGAACCTGTATCTACAAATCACAGTCAATGTAGCTCCGGATCCCCAAAAGCTGATTCTCTACTCATCCTCTCAGCCTATTGCTTCATAGTCCCTAAGAGAAGTTTCCCTTAGCTTTTACTCTTCTTTTTCTTCGCTGTATACAATCTGTAGATCAGTCTCTTTCTGATACTTTTTTATTATAAGGGGCACTCATGTGGTTTCTTACTTGAGACCAGAAGCTTTTGTACAATTCTTCCATCCACAATACCTAACACATACCTCATTTCAAACACAATTTCCCACCATGTAGCCTTTCATGACCAAAGCGGAATGCTCTAGTTCCATCCCTCTGTGTCAGCCTTCATCTTTAGGTTATAGCTTTGTATCAGGACAGAAGCAGGAACTGCATTCCTCACTCCTTAAATATAGAGCTTTAAAATCATCTGCTAACATGTTAACATTTTTTTGGATAGGCAGACAGAGAAGTTGCTTAACTGATGTGTAATAGGGTGGCACAATCATTACAATAATTGAAAGAGAAATTATTTACAATAATAAATGGGAATATAAGTAGGAGTAATGGGACTGTGAAATGATGGGTAAGAAACTTGGCTGAATATCAAGAAGTGATATATCTTAGTGAAATAACCTAGTTATTGAGATGGCAGAAGCCCCATCAGCTTGGCTCATTTAAAGCTACACTGGACAGAGCAGTAATGAACGTCCGTCCACGAGGAAGAAACACGCAGTTATCGAGGGACCAAGCTAATCCTGGGATTTTTCCATTTCAAGGCTCTGTGACTCTGAGGCAGGATGCCACAGAAGGACGGGCTTTTCCAAAATCCCTCTACTGAAACAGAATTGTGAATCACTTAGAAGCATTTCTGTGTGCTATCGAGAACAGGGTTTCAAAATGAATTAGTCAAATAAAATTGCTTTAGTTTATTTTAGACCTTTTTTTCCCATGGAGGCAAGGTAAAAATGTGCATGTGGCTGAGAGCCTTCCTCCATTCCAAGAGGCACTTTTTCGTAATTCATGACTTCCTAAAGACAACAACCTGGCAGATCATTGTCCACTCTTAGCCCTAAATCAGAAAGGAATGTTTTAGAATATGAATGTATAGAGAGTTCTGAAATAATATTCTAATCTAGTTTGATATCCCAGAGTTGAAATCATTGCGGATACGTGAGGCATGGGAATGTCTTTGCACCTCTTGTAGCTCTTCCTCAGCTTCTACATATCGAGCAACCACACTTGCATGAAGCAATTCTCTGACCACATTATAAGTGGTATTCAGCAAAGCAGGAGGGAAAGTGGAAAGCCCTAGATGTGCAGAGCTAATCTCCTAGCTGAGACTACCCAGTTTAGGAGAAACTTTTATTTCAGGCAGACATACAACTTTTAATGGAGTCACTGCCTTTCTTACTCACACTTCGTTGAGAGATTTCTCCAGCTTTGATGTCATTTTAGATGTTAGGTCCAGAGCATGCTGGACTGAAATTGGGACATTATGATATCAAAATTAGAAAATCATGCCTGCTGAGGCCCTGTGGATGCTCTGCGCCTAAAGTCATTATCTGTGCCATTAGGAAGTTAACGGCAGAATGACAAACCTGTAATGTGATCTGAAATATTAACAACTTTGGATCAAACGTGCCAGATGCAAACTTTAAAAACTTTCTGTTATGTTAAAGAGCTGGGGTAAATAGATTAGACTAGAGAAGTAGACTAGAGAAGTTAACTGAAGAAAAGTTCTGTACAGTGCAGGTTGTCAAACATAAAGATACCACCTTTGTCTCAGTACATCTTTAAGCAACTTATTGCTGGATAATATAGGAGGACACCTGGACAATACAGGAGGATGTACAAGTGGGGTTTTTTGCACTC